ACATTGGCCCAAACTTTGTTAAAAAAGTTACAACCACACCAAATTAATTTCAAAAATATCTTAAATCTTTAAATGGTGCAATACTGATAGAGGGTTTTCTCTTAAAGAGCATGAAATAGCCTTTTCTTTTAAAAAAAGAATCTTTGATAGCTTTGATAACATCTCTAGTGATATAGTTATCTCAAACAAAAAGTTTCCAGACCTTTGATTTATATTATAAAACTTTCAATAAATAAATAAATTTTCCCTGAAGCACAAAACTATTAACCAATAAAAAGTCACTAATTATAGACCTCAATACTTTCTGTACTTTCAAAAATCAATAAGAAGTCACTAATTATAGACCTCAGTACTTTCTGTACTTTCAAAAATATTTGAACGTTTCATTTATAAAAAACTTTATAACTGCTTTAATGATAATAATTTATTTTACACAAAAAAGTTTGGTTTTCGGAAAAATCATTCAACTGAACATGCAATAAATGAAGTAGTAAATCAAATTACTAGAGGATTTCAACTTGTTTCTCCGCGCAGCGGCCTTGTTCATCAAGGTTCGTGTTTCGAACCTTGTTGTTATAGAGTTGAGAGAGGGTTATAACCACTATTAAGTAGCCTCCTCGTCTGTAGTGGCCTTCTCGGCCTTGAGAAGAGGAATTAAAAAAAAAAAAAAAAAATTTCAAAATAATAATAACTTCACTCTAAATTATTTATCAGCCAATTGAAAGCATTTAATACAGTTGATCACTTCATTCTTTGAGAAGAAATATAACACTACAGAGTGATAAATAAAACCTATGATTGGTTAAAAAGCTACCTCAGTAAAAGAAAACAATATATTGTTGTTGATGAATCAGAAGAACTAAAAATTATATTCCCACAAGGGTCCCAGTCCCACAAGGGTCAATTCTTGGTTTACTGCTTTTCTTGATTTATGTAAATGATTCAAATAATGTATCAACAAAGATTAACTAGATAATGTTTGCTGACAACCCAAATCTCTTTTATTTAAACAGTGATAATAAACAACTTCATTCTGATATATAGTTTGAATTAAGGAATATTAATTAATGATTTAAGGCCAATAAACTATCATTTAATGTACAAAATAAAATAAACTTTATACACAAGATGAAAACCTTCCTATAAAATTACCTGATTTGATTTTAAATGATAAACTAGTTGGAAAAATTGAGTCAATAAAATTCTTAGGAATTCTTATTGATAAAAATTCATAATGGTTTCCCCACAAATTATATTTAATCAAAAATTAGCAAAACAACTGCAAAAAAAGGAACTGCTTTTACTCATGGTTTTGGAGTAATTGTTCAGCTTTACATGAATAAAAATTTGAGCAAAGCCGCTCAAATTTTTATTTATGTAAAGCTGAGCAATTTACTACAAAAACCCTGAGTAATTGCTTAGCTTTACGTGAATAAAAATTTTAGCAAAATCATTAAAAATTTTATTCACGAAAAGCTGAGCAATTAATCGAAAAACCTATTGTTTCACATACTATTACTTATTTTTTATTTACATGTCCTCAACCAGAAAAATAAATAAAAACATATTTTCACAACAAAAACATGCATACAGATTTATATATAAGACTTATATCTTTATCGTGCTCTCCATTTTCTATCTCCTGATTCCATTCTCTACCTCTACAAATCTCATGTTCATCCCTGTATGATATACTGTTGTATTTGGGCAGGTTCTCTTCTAGACAAGGTCCAAAAATGCATTGTAAATGTAGTTAGACCCGCTCTATCTGCTAAGCTTGAGCCTCATTCCTATGGTCGTAAAGTTACATCTCTTCCTCTTTTCTACAAATACTATTATGGCCGCTGCTCAAAGGAGCTATCATCTCTAGTTCCATCAACTCATTCTCACTTGACTCGTCATTTAGTAAAGTCTTATTCTTTTACTCTATCTATCCCTGTAAGTTTTTATCCCCGCACTTTAACACTTTGGAACTCTCTCCCACCTTCATGTTTTCCTGACCCATACAACCTTTAATATTTAAGTCTTCTGTCAACCATTTCCTTGTTCTATAACTCTATTCTTTTTTTGTAGTAACTCCCAACTTAATAGTGGTTTCTTGCAGCTTTGTTGGGAGTAGATCAGAATAAAAAAATATATATAATATATATATATATATATATATATATATATATATATATATATATATATATATATATATATATATTAGGGGTGCACCGATGCATCGGCATCAGCATCAGCCTGCCGATGCATCGACCATTTAGCCGATGCATTGGCATTGGCCTTGATAACCATTGGCCGATGCCAATTGTTTTGAAATTTTTGAAATTTTATTTTTGATTCTGTGTTTCTATATTATATCCAAACATAGAATTACGCCATAAACATATATACAATGTATAAATCTAACTTTTAATGTATAACAATGTATAAATCTAACATATATATATATTATTATATAGACATATATGCAACCACTAAAAATTAATGAGTGGTTTTAACAGGGCTCCTACTTTTTTAGAGTTTTCTTGAAATTTAGTACATTAATTATATAACTTATGGACCCAAAACTCTACAAAGAAGTTTAAAATCAAGAAATGCACATTTAAAAAATATAAACATAAAGTATAACATATTTAAAACATAATAGACCAACTTGCATCATGTTAAAAATAAATATAAATTTTTATTATGTTATGAAAAGTAATAAAATATGTTATATAAAACTGTGAATCTATTTTTTTGTTTCCGCTTCTCCAAAAAATTTCCCATTCGCATGCACAAAAGCTAGATTTTCTCCATGTTCTGCAGTTAGTCGGGACCGTGTCAATTCATAAATATTTCCCCCAGTACTAAACAATCTTTCACTGAACACAGAAGAAGGCGGAGCTCCTAAATATTTTTTGACAAGGTATAAGAGGTCTAAAATATTATTGCTACTAGAGTGTTTCTTTATACATGTATTTTTGTAATTTCCCCACCATTTATATGAATATTTATATTAAAATTAAATGATAAAAAAGTATATTATTAAATTAAAAGCGTTTAATAGATAAACATTTAAAATAAGTATTGTTTTATATTTTAACTTCATAAAAACATTTGCTAAAAACTTGCCAATTATTAGAAGTAACGGCATTAAAATCGTCCATTCATTCTTTATAAAAAACAAAATCGTTCTAATTCGAACAAAATGACAAAAGTAAATATTTATAAAACGAGCTTTTCAATTGGAGTAATTGCTCTAATTGTCAAGATAACAATAAAAAAATAAATGGAAAATAAACTTAATAATATAATAAACTTAATAATAACAAATAACTTCAACAATAACAATTTCAAAATGTTGCTTTCATCGTCACATGAATGGAATGTGGCATTTCATTCTGTCAACACATGAATGGAATGTCACATGAATGGAATGTGGCATTTCATTCTGTATATTTCCATCATATATCCAGTTTCAGGGCCGAAATATATCGGCATCGGCCAAAAGTAGGCATCGGTGCACCCCTAATATATATATACATATATATATATATATATATAATATATATATAATATATATAATATATATATATATAATATATATAATATATGTATACATATATATATTATATTTATACATGTATATATATATATATACATGTATAAAAAATATATATTTATAAAATATTATATATATATATATATATATATATATATATATATATATATATATATATATTGCTTGTAAATTTGATTGAATTTAGTGACAATTTAACACCTATCTAATTAATCAAACTTCACCAATTAAAATCTAACACCTAAAACCAAATAATTTTTAAAGTCAGTGTTACAATTTGTAATGCGATTCAAGATAAATTAAAGTTTGTCAGCATCCAATAGAACTTAAAGAAACTGGCTCTGGCCGTATAAGCATCATTGGTAAAGAAGGAGGCATAAACATTCTGGTTAATTGCTATTCTGCTGAGCTCTGTGATAAGACCCTTAAGACTTCTTGGAGAAATTATTAACTACTATATATATATATATATATATATATATATATATATATATATATATATATATATATATATATATATATATATATATATATATATATATTGAAGTATTGAAGAACTCTCTTCAATACTTAGTAAACTAAACTTAACCATGTTTTCCTACATGCTGGAAAGTGGGAACTGTAATTCCATTTTTAATAACTCTGGTTTTGTTAATTGCTAAGTTCACAAACCTTTTACCAAAATATTATTGCATTATGAGTGTTATCTGTCTAAAGTGTCAATGAACTGTATAGATCTATAAGTAACAAACAATATTAGTGTAACATTGACACAATTCTGTAAATTTTTTAACAATATTGTAAACAGTATTGTTCCAATATTGTGCTAATTGTTTCTTACTCTAGAATGATATTCAAACAATTTTACCTTCTTAGATATATAAGTTTTTTTTTTTAAAATTAGCCTGGAAAACTATTTTGTATGTGGAGCAATATGCACATGTTCTTTTAAGAGATCATGTTCAATCCAACTAGACAATACACAATGCTCCAAACATTATCAAGACAATGAACTCCCCCAAAATAATGAGCTATATAGAATTATACTTTAAACTATGTAAATTAAGTAAAAAAATAAAAAAATAATTTCACTTGGTAACAAATAAACTTTGTTTGTTTTTCTGTTAGTCTACCATTTGGACTACTCAAAATCAACTCAAGCATGTCGCCTTTCATTTTTTGCATAACAACAAATATCTAAAAATCCAAAGATTAATACAAATTATAAAAACTATAAATCAAAACCAACTCCACTTTAAAAGTTGACTATACCTTTTCAGCTGTTTCAAACATTCTTTCAAGGTTGACTACACCCGGGTAGTTAATGTTCTTTTAAAAAAAAAATCCTCTTATTGATATAACTTGTTATTACTTATACATAAATATATTTATTAAAAAGGTACCTCTAAAATTATAACTTCATTTTTTAAACCTC